TTGGACAAATTGGCACTTTTTGTATTTTTGGAAGGATTATATATTTTTGTATAGATGTATATGGAAAATATTAGGGTAGACTAGTAGTTATATTTTTGGATGTGCGTGTATGGAAAATATTTGGTAGACTACTAGTTATATTTTTGGGTTGATGTACATGGATAAAAATTTAAAACATAATAACAAGTACTTGTTATGTGTTTAATTTTTATGCTAAATGAAATATGTAGTTTCGAATTATTTGCGGATGTAAACTTATAATAGTTGCTGACTTTAATTAAACAGGTTCAGAAATGGTTGATATATGTATTTTGTTGAATGTTGATGATTCAATTTATTTGTTGGTTTGAATGATTTCTTCTTTTTACAGATTATATTGAATAAATTGGATGAATTATTATAAATTACAGGTTTATTTTGTTGGATATTGGCGACCAAAATTTGGTTATGTTTTTATAGTTTTGGCGACCAAAATTTTGGTCGCAGAATGTCACAATTGGCGACCATAATTTTTGGTCGCGAAATGTCACAATTGGCGACCAAAAAAATATTGGTTGCAGAATGTCACAATTGGCGACCAAATTTTTTGGTCGCGAAATGTCACAATTGGCGACCAAACAAATTTTGGTTGCAGAATGTTACAATTGGCGACCAAATTTTTTGGTCGCGGAATGTCACGATTGGTGACCAAATTTTTTGGTCGCGGAATGTCACAATTGGCGACCAAACTTTTTGGTCGTTGAATGTGATAATTGGCGACCAAACTTTTTGGTCGTGAAAATATCACTTTTTGCGACCAAAGTGTTTTGGCGACAAAATAAATTAGTCGCGGTAATTAAACATTTAGCGACTAAAAATTTAGTCGCGAAATCCAACTTTTGCCGACCAACCACAATTTTGGTCGCGAATTACTTTTGCCGACCCTCAATTGGCGACCAAAGTAGCGACCAAAAAAATTGGTCGCGGATAACTTTTGCCGACCAAAAATTGACTTTTAACGACCAATTTTTTGGTTGCCAAAAGTGTTAATTCTTGTAGTGTTACAAACAAATAAACGTCTATTAGTATAATGTTAGATGCGTTGGCTTTGTTATTCTTTGTAAGGTCGCAAGTTCTGTTACGTTGT